TAATTTACCGCAAAACTGCAAGACTGCGGAATAATTTTTGAATCGCATCAGTCTTTATGAATTTAATTAGGATTTTTAAGGATATTTGGTGTACTTTTTTTGGTTTCAGCTTCGTCTGCAATGGAAGAAACCGTTGCGAATAAAACGCCTCAGATCGGAGCAAGCTGCTCAACATGTCCCCCAATTCCGGATCGTGAAGCTTTTCAACGTGCCCTACGAGAATATAATCAGAAAATCAGCGAAATAACACAAAAAGTTTCTTTTTTTTTTCACCTTCCTCGAGTACTGTCTTACCAATAGTGGAAGCCTCAATTTGATAGATCGAAAGTTCCTAATTATTCTATTAGCAATAAGTAACTTTTTTATCCTGCTCGGTTATTGTTTAAAATATCTAGGACGTGTAGTTTGGATTTCCATCTAGGCAGCTAGTAACTTCTCCATCGGCTATTATCCTTGGGTTTATACATTCGGATCATCTGAGTTAGCAAATCGATCCAGCGTGTCGGTGGCTTTTCTACTGTTCTTTTAACACATCATGAGTACCAATCAACACCGTTTCTTAACTATAACAAACATATAAAGATATTAGTAGTAAAGTTGTAAAGATACTAATGAGACATAAAGACAGTAATAAGATATAAGATACTAATAAAGGTACTATAATAAAGATATAAAGACATTAATAAAAATATTAGTAAGAACTTATGCGAAAAAAATTTTTGAAAAAAAGCTACAGAAAAAGCTATAAATTTAAATCTTTAGCTTAAGCTATAGAATACTTCCTACTGCCTTCACTTCTCACAGCGAGTGAATACGGGAGCAACGGGAACGGGGAGAGGGGGAGGGGGGAGGGAGAGGAATTCGGGGGAGGTCTTGACTTTTGATACGGATAAAACAATCATAAAAAGTGAGGTTCATATTACATCACCAGGATATCCGATTTCCTTCCGGTATATGCTACTCCCTCCGAGTCTCTCGTAATTCATTCACAGCAGCCATCAGCCAGTATACTTTTAGTCAGGAAAAAATGCTTTTGATGCAGCCTGTACCTTCTTATCTTCCTGGGCTTCAAGAAAATCATGATTTTTTCACCACATACCTTATAATCATGATTTTTTTGCTTCGAATAAGTCCTTAATACTGATGAATTTTTTCTTTACAGATCGATGATATTGTTGGTAGAGAAGATACTGTTGGACTGTTATGTTCTTTGAAACAAAGCAAAG